GCTTTTAGCTATGGTTTTGTTACATTTAGCTTTTAGCTATGGTTTTGTTACATTTAGCTTTTAGCTATGTCTTTGTTACATTTAGCTTATAGCTATGGCTTTGTTACATTTAGCTTTTAGCTATAGCTTTGTTACATTTAGCTTTTAGCTATAGCTTTGTTACATTTAGCTTTTAGCTATAGCTTTGTTACATTTAGCTTTTAGCTATGTCTTTGTTACATTTAGCTTTTAGCTATGKYTTTGTTATATTTTTTTGTTTCAGCTATTATTTTGCTAATTTTTGCTAGTTTTTAACTTTTAGCGACAGATTTGCCGTATTTTCTGCTCTGCTTGTTTTAAAAGTAAAAATGACATTTTGGCAACTTTAGCTGTTTTAGCTGTTATTCTACAGAAGCTAATTTCTTTAGCTCGCTCGGCGGAGGTACCTGGTCATTGAGGAAGAGGTCGTTGGCCAAATGTAGGATCCGGTCCACGTGGATGATCCCTCCGATGTTGTCCACGTCCACGTCGGCCACCAGACCCAGAACCATGAGGGTCTCCACCAGCAGCTGCCGGTACTCCGGCTGCGGGACGTGGTTCAGGACCGACTCCACCTGCACGGCAAACTTGATCTCTCCTGCCGTCATCTGCACAGAAACTGGAGTTGGACCCACGTGCAAAGACCTGCCCCAGGTGCTCCGTGTCCCGGCCTCACCTCTCTGGTGGTGGAGGACGGCAGGACGTAGCCGTCGATGGACAGGCCGTGGCACTTCTGCAGGATCTTCCAGACCTTCTGGTAGAACCCCACTGGGACCCGGTTGATGGCTCCATCCAGCCGGCGTCTCCTCAGCCACTGACCCTGTCTCTCCTCCCAGTGGAGCTGCCCGTCTCCTGGACCGTGTCCCACCGGGGACAGGATCCCACTGGGGGTGGAGGGGCTGCTGCAGCGCTGTGGGGAGGAGACATTAGACCCGTGCGGGTCAGAACCGGTGCAGTTTGAACCGTGTGGGTCAGAACCGCTGCAGTTTGACAGATTTCTGATTGGTGGATTCACTGAAACCATTTAAACATTTGTTTTTTCAAATTTAAATTTAAAGGTTTTAGATGATCTTTAGTCCCCGTGCAGTGATTCATGCAAAACCAGACGTCGTGTTAGTGACCTGACAAAAGGCTGGCAGTGTTGTTGTTGTTCACTCGTTTAATTCTAACAGAAAAGAATCAGACTTTTATTCTTTTAACTAGCGTTTTGCTTATAGCTAGCTTAGCTATCAGCTAGCTAAAGTCTACCTTTCAGCTAGCTTTTAGAAAGTTTTAGCTTTGAGCTAATCTTAAGTAGCATTTTGCACTTTTATCTTTTAACTAAACTGTTGTTACTTTAAGGTTTCAGCTAAACTTTTGCTGTTTTAACTAGATTTTTGCTTCTAGCAAATTTAGCAATCAGCTAGCTAAATTCTACTTATACATTTAAGTTAATGTTTTGAATCTTTTAGCTAGCTTTTTGTTAAGTTTCAATAGCATTTTTTTACCTTTAAATTTTAGCTAACCTCTAGCTTCTTTTAGCTTTCAGCTAGACGTTTGCTGATTAAACTATCTTTTAGCTACTAGCTAGCAATCAACTAGCCAAAGTCTACTTTTACTATTAAGCCTGCCCTTTTGAAACGTTTAGCTTCTGGCGAGCTTTTTGCTAGTTTTAGGTAGCCTTTTGTTACCTTTAGCTTTCAGTTACCTTTTTGTGACTTAGCCTTTTGTTATTATTATTTTCAGGCTAGCCCTTGATGTTTTTAGTTAACATTTGGAACATTAGGTTTTAGCTAGCCTTGTGCTTATTTTATCTGTTCTGCTCTTTTAGCTTAACTCAGCTCCTACTTCAGCTTCTTCATGTTTCAGCTCTCACTCAGCTCTCAAAGACTGAATTTTTGCAGAAAATTACGTATTTTTCTAGTTTTGTTTTGGTCTTTTTTCAACAACAATGCCATCCTTAATCTTTAGCGTGAAAAGTCAGATGTTTAAGTTTCAACAGGTGCAGCCAGATGTTTTCATCCACTCATTTTAGGCTTTTATTTTGAAATATTTGGAGATGTTTAATGATTTATTTGAACTGTAAAAGGCAAAGGAGCCTTTCGGACATGACATGAATTGAGAGGATCAATAAAGAAGCTCAAACTTTTAAAGCCGAGTCTGAAACCAGGAAACCAATTGATGTAACTTGATGAAGACGTAAAGCCTGAGGTCCACGAGACACAGACTGAGGGACATTTACCAAACATCTGTTGGGTAACTTGTGCACCAAATTGTTGTTTACAAAACCCATTAAAGTTTTCTGTTAAAGAATCGTGTGTCACTGGAAAAAGAAGGCCTCRATGCAGCTTTTACACCTCTGAGTGGATGGAAACCTCTGAGTGYGGCTGAAACAAACCAGAACAAACATTTTGTCCACTGTTTGTGCAACAGTCTTCGTTCTGATCCCAAATAAAGTTCAGAGAAGCAGCTGAGATGAGATGGTTTACCGTGGAGCGGGGGGACGTTACATTGCTACTTAAGGAGAAACCGCCACTGAAGATCTACATGAGACATGGACAGAGATGGTTTACATACAGCAGATGTTTACTGGTGGAAAGAAAAAAGCAGCTGAAAAAGAGAAAAACCYAAAACATTGAAAAATGCTCAACTAAATCATCTGGTTTGATTTAAATCTACGTAAGCGCATAACTGATGGATGTAATCGCTGAGTGATCCATGGGAATGATGAGAGACACTGCAGCTGTGGTAAACATGATGTCATATAGAGAGCAGTTTGGCTGTTCAGATTAGAAACATGCTAAATATGATCAAAGTCAACCCACACTGATCGGGCGAGAGCCGTCCAGCTGCAAACAAGAGCAAGAACAATGTTAACAAACTATAAGATAAAATAAAGACGAGATAAAAAAGGTTTAAAAACAAAAAGATGAAAAGAAAAATATAACTAAGGATCAGAAGAAAAGATGAAAAGGAACAGAGAAAAGATTAGATCAGATCAAAAAGATCATTTAAGAGAAGTGATGAGATCAGCAACGTGAGATAAATCAGGAAAAAATAAAAATACGAAGTTGGAAAACAAGACAAATCATGAGAAAAGAAGATAAATATAAATGTCATGAGAAAAAAATCTTTGATAAAGATGAGATCAGAAGAGATGAAAATAAAATGAGATGAAAAATAGATGCAAAATGGTCAAAAGACTAAATGAAATATGAGAAGAAATGATTTAAGAGATTAAATAAGGTAAAAAGAGATGATCTGATGAAATGAGAAGACAAATATAAGACCAGATTTGATCAATAAGACCAAAATAAGATGAGAACTGATGAGACTCAATGAGATATGAGACATTAAATAAGATAAGGAAGAATTAATGTTATAAGATTGGATAAATAAGAACAAGTAAAATAAGATAAATGAGACAGGATGATGAGACTAAATGAGAAACCATGAGAAGAATTTAAAAGAAGAAAAAAGAAACAATGAGAAGATAAGAAGAATGTTATGAGATTAGATGAGATAAAACAAGAACAAATGGGATAAAATGAGAACTGATGAGACTGAAACAGATCTGAGACTAAACGAAATGAGGGAAGAAATGAGAGAATTCATGATGAAATGCTCCCACCTGTTTGATCTCACTCTTTAACTTGTGGATTCCTGTGCGTTCGGTCTTGGTGGCTCCGGTGTGACCCAGTTCATGGATGGAGATGGCAGGACTGGTGGCAGTGGACTGGATCGGACGCACTGATGAAGACAGAGAACAGAAGTAAAAACATTTCTGAAGTGTTTAAGTAAAAAAAAAAACTTAATAAATAAAAAAAACCCTCACTGCTTCTCTCGACTCCGAACTCCTTCCCGCTGAGGATGTGATGCAGCAGGTTCTTCATGTCGAACGGACTCAGGCTCATCAAGCTCTCAGACGCCTCCTCTCCTGCAGTCGTCACATGATTGTTATTCCCTCTCCAGATCCACCTGAAGAACTCTTTACGGGTTTAAATTCTCCTACCGGAGCAGTGCAGACTGCGGGCCAGCTCCGTGGCCATCACCTGCATGATGAGTCCGATCCGGAGGCGGAGCATGTCTCCGAACAGAGCGGGCTGCGAGCGCACGTACATGGCCAGGTACACCATGATCTCCTTCAAGACGACAACAAACACACGCACAGTCACACAGCAGACCAGAGACCAACACAGTTAAAGGTTAAAGGCTTACCTGAGTGAGAACAGCGATGCTGATGTCCTGACCGCTCGCCTCATATATCAGAGTGTTCAGCTCTTCTGGAGGGAGTGGCCTGAAGAGAAACAAAACATTTCATCCAAATGTCCCTGAAAACAAGCTCCAGGCTGAGACCCAGCTTACATGGTGATGACTTGTTCCCGCGGTTCAGGAGGCAGGCCTACGGTCAGCTGCTTGTGATGGGAGATCAGATCTGTGCATGCCTGACGCAAAAACACACAAGTTCAGCCAATTAAATAAAATCAATCTCTTTGTTAAATCATGTTTAAAGAAAGAGTTTGAATTCAGTTTTATGGCTGCACAATAGATCAAATATTTATTAATCTCAACATAATAACCTACRTTATCAGTCTATAACCTGCAGACCAGAACCAGGTGCAAATAATAAATTTGACAATCTGATGGTTCTTCAGTATTCTAAACATCCACAGCTGATTTAGAAGCTAAAATGCTAAAGCTAAAAGCTACAAAACACATGCTCTAAAAGAGTTGTTAGGGCCTCGGGAGGGGTTCTCCTTCATTAAAAACATCCAAGAAACGTCTTCAGTCTCAGGAAAATGACTCGAGAGAACAACCAGCGGCCATCAGGGCACTAAGGGTCAGTTGTGAGGCTGATGGTCCTCTGAGAACAACAGGGATAATCAGGGCACTAAGGGTCAGTTGTGAGGCTGATGGTCCTCTGAGAACAATAGGGATAATCAGGACACTAAGGATCAGTTGTTAGGCTGATGATCCTCTGTGAACAGGGATAACCAGGGCACTAAGGATCAGTTGTGAGGCTGATGGTCCTCTGTGAACAGAGATAATCAGGGCATTAAGGGTCAGTTGTGAGGCTGATGATCCTCTGTGAACAGAGATAATCAGTACACTAAGGGTCAGTTGTGAAGCTGATGGTCCTCTGAGAACAACAGGGATAATCAGGGCACTAAGGGTCAGTTGTTAGGCTGATGGTTCTCTGAGAACAACAGAGATAATCAGGGCACTAAGGGTCAGTTGTTAGGCTGATGGTTCTCTGTGAACAACAGAGATAATTAGGGCACTAAGGATCAGTTGTTAGTCTGATATTCCTCTGTGAACACTAAAAATAATCAGGACACGAAGGGTCAGTTGTTAGGCTGATGGTCCTCTGAGAACAACAGGGATAATCAGGGCACTAAGGGTCAGTTGTGAGGCTGATGGTCCTCTGTGAACAGAGATAATCAGTGCACTAAGGGTCAGTTGTGAAGCTGATGGTCCTCTGAGAACAACAGAGATAATCAGGGCACTAAGGGTCAGTTGTTAGGCTGATGGTCCTCTGTGAACAACAGGGATAAACAGGGCACTAAGGATCAGTTGTTAGTCTGATATTCCTCTGTGAACACTAAAAATAATCAGGACACGAAGGGTCAGTTGTTAGGCTGATGGTCCTCTGAGAACAACAGGGATAATCAGGGCACTAAGGGTCAGTTGTGAGGCTGATCGTCCTCTGTGAACAATAGGGATAATGAGTACACTAAAGGCTGGGTTATAGTCGCGCAGGGCTTGTACACCCTCAGTGGTGTAGGCGTATATACTTGACGCTGCTTTTTTGTAGATTTCTCCAAAAGAACACGTGGAAGTACACTTTAACGTGTGAAAATGTAAGTAGGAGAGCAACAGCTTGACAGACAAACAAAATATTTGAAAGGTGCTCCCTGATGGTTTTTTATCAGTTGGGTTTTAGTAAGTCAGACATTCAGGCTCATTAAATCCAGTTCAGTTAATAAAATGTAAATTGGGTCATTGTTCAGTTTGTCACTCACCTCAGCCAGGACCTCCACTCTCTTGCGTAAAACTCCAGAGATGTATCTGATGAGCCCCCACTCCTTACAGACTCCAGCCTGGACGTACAGCTCCTCCAGCAGTGAACGCACCGTGACCCCACCCTGACCTGGTCCCGACAGCTCCACCATCCAATCAGGTCCTCTGTTGGAGCACAAAGCCACCGGACAGAAAATAAATAAAAACAAACATGATCCTGTTTGGTTCCAGGTGGGATGTAGTTTTGTGTAACATACTTTAGAACATAAAAAATGTAGAGGATGTCCGCTTGGTCCTGCAGGGTGGGGCAGTCTTTCAGCTGCTTGGTCAGCGCAGCGAAGTCCGTGTTTCCCTGAGTGTCTCGAGGCAGGTGCAGGTCCGAAACACTCATGTGCTGCAGAGGGAGGCGGGAGCGTTAGAGACACTCAGAACCAGCAGAAAATCAGAAAAACACACACAGGCTGCTACCTTGTGCTGCGCTGCCTGTGGTCCAGGAGGAGGATGATGAACAASAAGGTTGAGAGATTTACGGTGTTTGTTCATGACCGGAGTCACCGGCAGATACATGGAAGACTCTGAAATGTGCATGAGAAATAACCATTTATGAACCTCCAGAACACATTTTTCTCATTTTCTAACAATGAAGATGAAAAAAACATTAAAACTAAAATTTTTACAAATTTATTAAGGCTAACGATTATTTTAATAATCAATTAATCTGATTATTTTTTCGATTAATCGGCCAAATCATTAAAACGCTTAATTACATAAATAG